TCTCAGAAACCTCTCTGCTATGGGACTTTGTTGCTTGCTCCAGTCTTGAGCTGGCTGCTTTCTGGGCCTGCTGCCTGGCTGTAACCCTGACATTTTCCTTTAGTTCTGTTCTCACATGGATTCAGCATTTCCTGTGGTTCATACTTTCCTCTTTTGGTTTGCTCCCTTATGAACTTGGTTTCCTCCTCATAAATAAGTGTTAGAGGAAGCTGCTTGAGAATGTACTCAACTTCTAAAGAAAGGGGCCACAGGAGGTGAACTTTCTGAGTCTTCACATATCTGAAAATGTGTTTCTTCTACTCTTACTCAGTTTCAGCTGGACTTGGAATTCCAGGTTGAAGAATATCTCCCCCAAGTTTGAAGACACTCCGCATTGTCTTCTGGCACACTAATAGGAGTTAGGACTGCTAATTGGAAGTGTTGCTGATAGACAATCTGTTGCCAGACTAACTCCTCAGCTTTGGGAATGGCCTGTTTCATTATTTATTTTTCTTTGGCAGCTTTTAGGATCTTGCTTCGATCTATAGCTTTCTGAAATTTCACATTAATTTATCTAATTGTCTACCTTGTTACATCTATTGTGCTGGGTTCTCAGTAGACCCTTTCAGCTTGAAGACGTGCGTCTCCTTTCATCTCTAAGAAATTATCTTGATTTAAGTTTTTTCTCCTATTAACTACTGCTGTTATTTTCTAAAATTCCAAAGTTATGACATGTGGCACTTTCTGGATTATTCCTTTTGGCATCTTTTTAAAAATCTCATATTTTCCATCTCTTTGTCTTTTTGTTCTATAAGCTGGGATAGTCCCTCAACCTCATCTTGAGTCCTTGCAATGCATTTAGAAGTTTTAGCAACCTTCCTTTCAATTTCCAAGAATTACCTTTTTGTTCTCAATTAAAAATTTTTAATTGTGGTAAAATACATGTAACATAAAATTTACCATCTTAAGAATTTTTAAAGGTATAGTTTGGTTGTGTTAAGTATATTTGCATTGTTGTGCAACCAATCTCCAGATCTCCAATCTCTTTTCATCTTACAAAACTAAAACTCTGTCCATATTAAACAACAACTCCCCACTCCCTCCCTCTGGCGCCCACTGTCCTACTTTCTGCCTCTATGAATTTGACTCCTTGAGGGACCTCGTGTAAGTGGAGTCCTATAGTATCTCTCTTTTTGTGACTGGCTTATTTCACTTAGCATAATGTCTTCAAGATTCATCCATGTTGTAGCATGTAGTCAGAATTTCCTGCCTTTTAAAGGCTGAAGAATATCCCATTGTGTGGATAGAGTGAATTTTTTTTGTCCATTGTTGGACTCTTGGGTTGCTTCCACCTCTTGGCTATTGTGAATGATGCTGCTACAAACATGACAAACAGACAAATATCTCTTTGAGACCTCGCTTGCACTTCTTTTGGGTGTATGCCCAGAAGTGAAATTGCTGAATCATATGGTAATTCTATTTTTACTTTTTTGAGGAACCACCATGCTCAATTCCTTTTTATACCTTTGTTTTATGAATATAGTATCTTCTCAAGTTTCTCTGAGTGTTTTAAAATTTCTCTCCAGTTCCTTAAATTATCCCTGCTGTTTTTAGGGTCACTTTTGCGTTTGTTTTGGTTTTCTCTTTCATGTTGCTGATTTTTTTCCAAATGCTTTACGATTCTTGGTTAATTTTGTGTTTAAGAATGAGGCATCAGAAAGGCTGGCTGAGATCTCTGGATGTGGGTGGGATTTGTAGCATGTTAAACTTTTGGGTGAGTGATCAGGGAATTTGCTGGTAATCTGAGAAGACCCTAACGTCATTCGGACGTCATTCGGGGAGTACCGACACCCATGTAACTGCCTTAGGTGTCCCTGAAGTACACCTAACTTCTAAAAATTAACATTTATTGAGCATTTCCTATGTGCCAGGCGCTATGCTAAATGTTTTATACATTATCTCATTTAATCTAACCAATAATTCTATGAGAGAGTTATTACTGTATCCATTTTACAGAAGTGGAAACTGAGGCTTAGAGAGTTTAAAAAAATGTGCATAGCTACTTGGAATTTGAACTTAAGAATATATGACTTCAGATTTCGCGTTGTTAACCAATGTACTATTTTGATTCTGAAGTTTTGAGCTGAACCTCAGGTGAGGATTAAGTGGCAGTTTCTTTCTGGGTCACTAAGGAAATAATCTATAAGCCACAGTAATACATATAAGAAAAGAGAACTGCTAAGTTCAATGGATTTCAAGAAAATATCCAGAATAAACTCTCTGCAGATTTAATTCTGTGAAAAGTGTGAAATGGGGAGATGGGATGGCCTTTCTAGCGTTAAAGATCCAGCAACATCTCTCCTCCAGCAAAGGGCTTGGCAGCGCTCCCGTGGCCAAGCTCTGGGCTCTTGGCAGGAGTGACAAGTGCACGGTGGGGAAGAAGCATCCTGTACCTGCAGCCACCTGTCCTTCACCCTCCCGCCGCCCCAAACTTGGATAGGGGTGGTGGTTATGAGTCATATTGACCTAGGAGGAATAATGGTCCTGTCTCCTTCCTTGGGACTTTGGAGATGATCGCTCATTCATTCATTCTTAGCCAGGCACTGTGCTCGGTGCTGGGGATAAATAGATAAAAGAGCCACAGTTCCTGCCTCTGAAGAGCAGACAGTGTACTAGGTGTGCCCAACAGACGTAGAATACCGGACCATGTGGGCCGTGATGGGCTGTAAGGGAGACGGTATACTTGGTGGTTAGGCAGCCCTGGAGCTAGCAGACACAGGTCTGAATCCCAGCTCTGCCATTTTGCATCTGTGCGACTTGGTCTATTATTTCACTTTGCTAACCTTCACTTTCCTATTTTATAGGATTGCTGTGAGGATTAAACGAAATAAGGCATGGGAAGCGCCAACCCCAGTGCCTGGTATGTACCGAGTGCTCAAGATGGGGAGTTGTCATTGGAATAACATGGACGGAACGTGCTGCAAGTCTGGAGAAGAGGGTGACCACCTCTCTCTGCCTGGAGGTGAGGAGGTCGGGGGAGTCAGGGAGGGCTTCACCCAGGAGGGGCCTCCAAGCCCCACTCCTCCTTCCTGAGAAGGACCCCAAAAGGTGTCTTTCCCTGTCCCAGCACCCCAAGGAGTCACATTTTTGACAATTGACAAACAGCCTCTGACAAAGAAGGTTCTCTAAGGCCACCTGGGCAACTCTCCATGACCCCAGACTTCAGCTGCCTTGTCTTCTCCTAGCTTCTTTATTGGCTGCTTTCTGGGAGATGCAAGGATGAATAATGAATGAATGAGCCTTGATTATGACCACCGTGTGCCAGGCTTTTGCATGTATTATCTCATTTAACCTTACCCAATAATCCTCTGTAGAAGGCTACCCTTCTTCCCATTTTATAAATGGTGGGACTGAGGTCCAGGGACATTAAGTTAATCACCGAGATCATGCAGATCGCAGCCAGAGCTGAGATTCAGTCCCCAGCAGTGTGGCCCCTTGTTGATATGCTTTCCTCGTTCTGCAGCTGCCTCATTTGCACAGAGTCATCAACCAAGAATCGTGGTTCAGGAAGGGACTGCGGAGCTGCATTCAGTGCTTTCAGCTCCATCGTTGGAGAAACTCCCTGGCATATGGGACTTTTTCGGCTCTAAGTTCCAACCTTCCCTGCCACTCAGTCAGGGGAGGGGGAGGGGAAGCTAAGGGTTCTGCCTCTCCAGAGGTACAGAAGTGCCCAGTGGTATGGCCACATCTGCTCAACACCACCATTCCTGGTGCGTACGAGGGAAGGCCACAAAGCACAGAGCGGTGCTGCATGCCTGTCTTCTTTGGAGTCCGCGGCAGTCAGACAACCCCATGGGCTAGGACTCCACGAGCCGGTGGTCTTTCTAATGGTCATGTTACTGGAGCTCTCTCCCGTCTCACACACAGGCCAGCAGCTGCAGACTCTGGGACAAACCAAGCAGCCAGGTCCGCTCCTCTGCTGAGCCCAAAGCTCTTTGCCACTCACTGTCTCCTCCTTGTGGACGGTTGTCCCCAGAGTTGTCAGAAGCTGGCAACGGTGCTACTGGAGAACCGTTAAACTCAACAGTCCCAGGGAGATGGCTTCTTTCGCCCAATGTTCGGGGAAGTCCAGACAAAATGAGAGTCAGTGAAGTTTGCTTGAATGTCTCTCCTCCCCGCTTTCTGCTCTCTCTCTTCTCTCGTGTAGCTTGTCCTCTTTCCACATAAGAAATATACTTCTAGGAAGGGAAGATATCTGTCATTTACATCTTAAAATGGTTTTAAGTGTATATATCACCTTTTTTGGGAAAGGATTTGTTCTTTAGGTTTCATCTTTGTGAGTATTAAAAATGATTTTTTCCCTAAATCAGCAGCAGGTGTGTGTGTGTGTGTGTGTGTGCTCGCATCTCCGTGTCGGAGGTGTCATATTTTCGAGGGTCTGTCTTTGTTGACGTCACACCCTACTTGGCCATGATCCCATCCCAGCAGGCCCTCTCACACAGCCTGCCACCTGCTCCCAGGTATCAGAGGAGTCAATTTCGCATATTTTCCAGAAGAGGCAAAAGATACTCTGAGCTCCTTCTTGCTGGCCTTTGTGATCTTCTCCTCAAAACACACAACTGACCATCAAAACTGGGAAGAGGAGAGTCAACCGCTCCTTCCCAGAACTGATAACACCAGGATATCAAACCATTTATTCAGCCATTCACCTAATGTTTCTTTACAGTGGACCTCAGCGTACGAGGAATCGGGGTAATAAAGTAATTGAATTCTGACCACTCATCATTCGTCAATGAATAGTGCTCTCTACCCCCCGCCCCCGTACTTCTCTTTCTTTCTTTCTTGTGTAATACGAACTGTTAAACCCAAAGCACAAGCTGGGACCTTCATGATAACCTACACTTAACCGTATTTCTGCGCCCCGCCCCCCCCATTCTTTTGTCTCCTCCCCCTGAGGTTCTGATCATTCTGATTTCTGTGTCCATCACTCTCTTCTTTCCTTTTTAGGTAGTTTTGTTGCATTATATGCATTTCTAAAAACACATTTTTTTATTTTACTTTTTTTTTTTCCACTTAAGCTTGTATTGCTAAGTCTTCTGCATTTTGCATGTTGCTGTAGTTGGGTGTTTTGACTACAGTGTATATTAGTTGAGTGAATAGACCACATGTTTTTTTCTTCATTCTCCCATTGAAGGACACGTGGGCTGTTCCTGGCTTTTACATGTTGTGAACAGCACTGCTGTGAACTTTCTCATACGTCCACGTGCAAGCGTTTCTCCTTATTTCTCCATCTGAGAAGCGTTTATTCAAAGCCACTGCACGTTTTGCCCTGGTCTGGGGGGAGAGCGCGGCACTCCTCATGTCAGACCTTCATAAAGGGATGGGGCTGCAGGGTGCTCCGCTGAAAGTGGTGTGACATATTGAAGCCAACCTGGGATTTTGGTTCAGACAGACTCGATTCAAGGTCTATCTAGGCCACTTACTAGGTGCGTGACTGGGACCATTTCTTAACCTCTTTGAGTCTCAGTTTTCTCATTTTAAAATGGGGAGCAGTAATACCCCTCCCATAGAGTTGTGAGGAATAAATGGGATAAAAGATGTCTAGCACACAGAAGGTGCTCAATATATACTCATTCTTCATTTATGGCGGTCCACAGATACTATCATTATTACTGTACAATACCAAATGTGTCATATATTCTATAATATTATATTATTATGCCTAGTAACAGAGAGAAAATATGAATTCTCAATTTAGAGGAATTTATGCTGTAATTGGGGATTAAGAATAACATGCAAGAAACAATGAGACGTCAAAGCATAGCTGGAGATGCAGAGCTGTGTGACAACAAGTATGCACCCTTGAGTCAGCACACTCCACTTACTGGCTTATGACCTCAGTTACCTCCTGGACTTTTGGAGTCTCTGTTTCCCTGTGGCGGTTAGTAACCATACTGAGCTCTGAGGCTTTTGTGTGGATTAATGACATAATCCATCAATCCTTGTCCTGGTGCCTGGCTCACTTTGGGTGCTTCATCAATTGGAGCTGTTATTCATCTGGGACATAGTGTGAGCTCCTTGCATTGGCAGAGTGTCCACTGGGCAGGGACCCTGTAGAGGAGATTCAATTACTGGATTTGGAGGGAGGGAAGTCTACTAATATTTCCCAAGATAGACTTCAGATGGATTCCCTCAGAGTCGGGGAGGTTGGGTGCCCTATCAAAAACATAGATTTCCTCAAGCTTTCTGATTGAGGATCTCTTGGGGAAAAGCTTGGGGATTTGCATTATTATAAAGTTCTATGGGTGACTCTGACATGAAGACAGGTTTAGGAACTACCAGACTAACAACTTCTAATGTCTCTTTCAACCCTGTACCCTGGGAAACCATTCAGGAAGGGCTTGAGTTCCCCAAGAGAGCTTAGGACTTCAGTTGAGCAAGAGGAGGATACTGGGTGGAATTAAGAAGAGAATCTAGATGTCTTAGGAGCAGGGAGAACACTGCACTACTCTAGGGAGCACTGTTTATATAGAATACCTAGAGAGTGACCCCCACCCCACTCCCACCGCCCCCCAGCACAGCATTGTGCTTTATAGGAAGAGTCCCCCTGAAACTGTGCAACTGATTACTGTTTCTACACAAGAATACCATCTATTTACATTGTCTTTCTCTAGTGCCAGACTACCTGGGTTTGAATCTGGATCCATTCCTTACTAGCTATGTAACTCTGGGCATGTCACTACGACCTGTGACTCAATTATCTCATCTGTAAGACAGGGATGATGATAATAATACGTACATACCTCATAGGGTTGTTGTAAGGGTAAAGTGAGTGAATATATAAGACTTAGTAAAAAGGCTTAGAATAGTGTCTCACACTTAGAAAGTGACATGCAGGTGTTAACTATTACCTTTCTCATTGTCATCATCACCATCATCATCAGCAGTGGCATCATCATCACCATTCTGCTGTAAATTCCATTTACCATAGGACTCTCTCAATGATTATCTAAAATGCAACCAGTCTTGTTTAGGAAAAAGATAGAAGGATATATATTGTTTCCCTCTTCCTACTGTTTTGTGGAAGAAAAGATATTTCTCAGTAGAAAACAAATGTGGAATAGATGGCCAGTTAATCCCCAAATATCTGCTCTCTATTTTTTTATTGTAACAGAAGTTTTAGCTGGACACATGGCTGGGAAGTTAAACATCACATTTCCCAGCCTCCCTTGCAGCTAGGTATGATGACATAACTAAGTTCTGGCCAAGGGGATGTGTGAGCAGAAGCCATGCCTACAACTTCAGGGTCGTGCCCTTAAGAAGAAAGGAGCAAGCCCTCCCAGTCCTTTCTTCCTTTCCTCTTACTGGAATGTGGAGGTGGTGGTGGAAGCAGGAGCAGCCATCTTAGACCTTGAATGGAAGACAGGTGCTGAGGATTGTTAAGCCAGGTCCAGAAGGCCCGGGACCCTACCCTATTCACTTTTGGATGGCTTACTTTTGGATGTTAGAGGAAAGAGAAAGGCATTTCTGTCTGGTGCGTGCCATAGTTATATTGGCTTTTAACACAGTAGCTGAACTGGGATTCTAAATAATGTTGTTGTTATGTGTATAAAGAGTAAACATTCTGCCAGGTGGTCAAAAGAGTAAGAGTAAGGAAGGATGGGAGGAAAATACTTATCTGAATGATGTATACACAGGGATCTGGGAAAAGAGGGGACAGGGCCAGGTCCAGGGTGAGGCAAGAGAGGTGCCTAGGGACAGTCACTCTCAGGGTTGTGTAAGCCTTAAATTTTGTGTCCTAGGTGCCTCTCTTGTAGTCTTGACCATGGGAAGGAAAGGAATTGGATCATAGGGGGATAGGAACTGAAGGTGAAGAAGGATGGTGATAACATACAAAGAGAGGAGAGAAGGGATGGAGTGAGTGGAGAGGAATTATAGGAGAAGAAAGGAAGAGAGAACGGGAAGAAAAGAGGACAGGGTAACCTTCAAGCTAATCATCTAACATGGAACGTTTTTAATTTAGAGAGAACATCCCTTTACACCTGATATCTTAGATGTGGGAACAGGTCTTATTTCAACTACCTGCTCTAAAAATCAGGGATAGGCAGGGATAAAAATGCTGCACTCAACAGGGAGGATGTGACAAAGGACAGGGACGTGTGACAGTCAGGAGAGTGTCAGCAGCCTGACACCTCACAGGTCACCAGGCAGCAGCTGTGGTTGAACTAGAGGGGACCTATTTCCAGGATGAACTCTGAGGATGGGACTTTGGTCCCATGCTCTTCCTATTTCCAGGAGGCCAATGCAGGTGTCGGAGCTATTTTGTCTTGCCCTTTCAGCTATGGCATCATAGTCTGCCAGGTGATCAATGGCTGTGAGACACGCTAAATAAAGTCAGCCTGGAATAGTCTCCCAAAGTCTAGCACTGTCTATATCTGTTACGTATCCACTCATTATGTGACCTCATTGCCTGCCTGGTAGTTTTCCTATAGCACGAGGCAAGGGGAAGGGGAGATCCAGACTTCAGGGAAGGGTCATGGGGATAGAGGGCAGCCGACCGGACATTGCAGATGTCTGGAATTGCTGTTTGGTCCAAAACTAATGGTTGTACCTGAAAACATAACTCAAATAGAGCTTTACTTCCTTCAGATTTCTGGGAGAGTCTTGGTGGGAATGGAGGTAGATGGGTGGTAGATGTAGGAGGAGAGAACATCTTTCTTTGGGGAAGGCCTTAAGTCTGAGAGGGGACGGCCTCTGTCATCTCCCTCTGCTCTATCATCTCCCTCTGGATAATTTACAGCTTTATATTCCATCCACCAGTGGGGGGTAGTAGAAAGAATGGGTGAGAATCTGAGCTTTGAGTCATATCTTTGTGATTTATGACAAAAAATACTAGCTATTATTATTAGAAATACTTTCTTACATTGCACAGCACAAACATTTGATGTGATGGTTGATTGCATAATGGGGGGTTTAGTGTCAAGAGGTATCTGCTCCACAAACCCATGTGGTTAAGGTGGAGGGGACTGTCCTTTCACTTCTGTCACTTCATCTACCACTGGTTTTCCACTCTTCTTATCTAAGTTCCTCAAGAACTACGCTCATGGTCTGCATTTCCTCATCTTCAACTGACTTCCACTCCAACACCTCCACTGAAATGGTGTTTGGACGGATCACTAATGACCCTTATGCTGCCATTTTCTTTTTTCTTTTTTTTTTTTTTAAAGATTTTATTTTTTCCTTTTTCTTTCCAAAGCCCCCCAGGACATAGTTCTATATTCTTCGTTGTGGGTCCTTCTAGTTGTGGCATGTGGGACGCTGCCTCAGCGTGGTTTGATGAGCAGTGCCATGTCCGCGCCCAGGATTCAAGCCAACAAAACACTGGGCTGCCTGCAGTGGAGCGTGTGAACTTAACCACTCGGACACAGGGCCAGCCCCTGCCGTTTTCTTTCTTTACACTCACTGGGTGATCTCAATCACCTTCATGACTTCACTGTTCTTTGGATCAGCTACTGCTTTTAGCCCTAGATATCTCCCTGTCACATGGCTATAATGGAGGGGGTGTGGCACCACTTTAAATGACCCTGCCTACCTGGCCACAATTGAACAGTCCAGGAATGGGCACCTGATGAAACCCAGGACTTCTTTTTTCTTTTAACTGAGACTCAGGTAGGGAGTAAGGCTTTCCCTGGGAGTGAAAGCCATAAGATGGTGAACTTGGGAGGCGTCAGTGGCGATATTTCCCTCCTCTTGGAGGAAGCTGTCCCTAGGGAGAGATAATAGCCCATAGAGGAGAAGGAAGAGAGAGCCCAGGGCATGTTCAATTGCCTGATTCCAGTTGTCCCCAAGATTCAGCAGTCTCCTTGCCTTCTCCACGGATTGCCTTCTTTGAATTATTTGCGATACCCTAGGATTCTTCCACTAATGCCCCTTTCTGCCTAAGCATGTTCTAGGTAGGCTTCTGATACCTGGAACTGAAACAGATTCTGACTGAGGTAGATTCTAAGGAAACACAGGCCCCAACTAGGGGTTAGAAGGATTGGATTTGAATTCGACTCCGATACTCATTGCTGTGAGAACTTGAGCAAGCCCCAGACTCTGAGCTTCAGTTTTTCATCCATACAATGAAAGCAACAAAATCTACCTGCCTGGCACACATGGTCCTAAGGAGATTAACCAATTATATATTCAAGCACCACTCAAATCATAAAACACCCTAGAAACGTAAAATTTAAAAAGTGCATGACTTACTTGAAACCTTTTAGAAGCCATTTGTATTTTTAGCACAAATCTCCATTTGGGGGAATGAGCTTCCCAGCAGGACACTTGCAGCTGGTTGAGGACCCAGGGCAGGAAGGTGTGTGCTGACAGCAGTGTTCCCCAGGTAGAATGCCCACGGTCAGTGGGGACAGGGATAGCAGAATTTCCGGTGAAGGTTTAGAAGCCAGGGAGGCAGTGGGAGACCCAGAGTCCCAAAGCTCATTTATGGAAGCACTTCCTGACCCTGCTTTGGGATTTTATTTGGGTCTCCAAGGGGCAGTAGCCAATCCAAGGGGCCATGAACACGACCCATAAGAATTAGTGGAAAGTAGGAACTCCTGAGTCTGGGATGGGTTAGGAAGGAGCTGAGGATCATCTGCTGGTCTTAGCAAGCACATTCAATATTTCATTCTGGACTTGGGGTTGAGAGACCAGAATTCCAGTCTTACTTTGCTTCTAACTTACTGGGTAAGACATGTCATTTCTTCTGAGTCTCAGTTTCCCCATTCCTCAAATTGGAAACAGGGTGGGATGAGAGGGTTATTCACAATTACACCTTACACTTGTAACACTGTTATAGTTCATGCTCATTATCACTTTCACTCCTTATAACATCAAAGGAGACACATATTATTGGTCTCATTTTATAGATAGCTAGTAAAAGTAAGAGATAGTGCTTGTACTGAGGTCTCCTTCCACTCTGAGATCCTTCCAGTAGTAAAGCTGTCATTCTCCTACCACTGTGTGATAGAGCATTCTTGAGCACCTACTGTGCTCAGGGGGCTGGGCTACAAAGGGGTTTCAACATGGTATAGAGTCATTTGTCTGCATGTCCCACCTCCCCTACTAGACTGTTAACTCCTTGAGAGCAGTACCCATGCCTCCTTCTTCATTACTCCCTCAAAGCCTGCAGAAATTGGCTTATCCTCTGGATAAATAATGATTAAACACAGATGCAATGACAAGGCCCAGGCAAGAAGCACTTTCGCTGTGTGTTGAGAATCTACCCTAAACCCAGAATGTGGCTTGGGCTGCAGAGAAGGCTTCTCGGGCATTTTTGTTTATCACAAAAGCACTGGCTTTTGTGTTCTCTCTTATCTCCAGAGATGCTTTCAGCCTCAGGAGACACAATCATCAATCAACAGTTACTCACCAGATACTGCCCTGAGCCAGGCCCACAGGATGCACTTTATCAACCTCTTAATTTAGTTTAAGTTTTGGGTATACGCCAGACAAGAAAGATTTCTCTCATCTATCAATTCCCACTTCTGCTTCTTTTTGGGAAAAACAACTCTCAATCCAAAAAGGTAAGTGTGGAATGATGTCAGGAACGTGGCAAAGTGAGCCGTTCCCTTTATCTCTCCCCCTTTGAACTACCACTAAATGGACAATCATTGACCAATGGAGGAAACCCACACAGCACAACAGGACGTCTGAGGGAACCACACAGCTATACATCTGAAGATGGATGGACTGGCCCTCTGGGAAGTGGTGGAGATAGATGAGCACTCCCCTGTCCTTCTCTGGCAGTCTGTGCATGTGCAAAAATGATTTCCTGGCCAGTGCAAGCACCCATAGTACCGCTGTGCCCCAAAAGTGGGAACATGCCTCAGGGCAACTGTAGAAAGAGGTGGAAGCAGCCTTTAGCCTTCTTGTGATCACTTTCCCAGAGTGAGAGAGTCCACCATGCTGCTGTAGCCCCAAGAAGTGGCCCAGGCTGGGAGCCCATGAGGAAGTCCCGCCCACTAAGCACAGCAGCTGGCACCATTGTAAGGAGAGGCAGCAGCAGACCTACACACATGCCCAAATGCTCTCCCATTGGCAAAAGCACCCATAGTATCCCCACAACTTCCAGTGGACAGGGTGGGATCAGAAACACAGCTCCTTCTTCTCCCTAGTGGTAGCAAGTGGAATCTGTGACCTAACACTACCACAAATACTACTACAGACAAAAGATTAGTTCATCAAACACCATGAGAAACTGCAGTAACAATTCAGACCAGAAGGAAAATGATAACTCTCCAGGAATCAACCCTGAAGGCACAGAAATTGACAATCAAAATGACAGAAAATTCAAAATAGCTGTCATAAAGAAACTCAATGAGTCACAAGAAAACTCAGAAGGACAGTTCAATGGACTCAGGAATAAAATTAATGAGAAGAAGGAATACTTCACCAAAGAGACTGAAACTATGCAGAAACACCAAGCAGAAATTCTAGATATGAAGAACACAATTAATGAAATAAAAAATAATCTAGATCCTTAAAAAATAGAGCTGACGTTATGGAGGAAAGAACTAGTGATTCAGAGGATAGAAATGTGGAAACGCTACAGGTAGAGGAGGAGACAGAACTAAGATTTTTAAAAAATGAAGGAATTCTTCAAGAAATAGCCAACTCAATTAGGAAAAGCAACATAAAGATTATAGGTATTCCAGAGAGAGAAGAGAGACAGAAAGGGGCAGAGAGGTTGTTCAAAGAAATAATAGCTGAGAACTTCCCAAACCCGGGGAAGAAACTGGATTTACAAATTCATGAAGATACTAGAGTGCCTAATTACATCAGTGCTAAAAGACCTTCTGCAAGGCATATAATAGTAAAATTGGCAAAAGTCAACAACAAAGAAAAAAAATATTAAGAGTAGCCAGGCAGAAGAAAATAACCTACAAAGGAACCCCTATCAGGCTTTCAGCAGATTTCTCAAGAGAAACCTTGCAGGCTAAGAGAGAATGGAAGGATATATTCAAAATACTGAAAGACAAAAACTTCCAGGCAAGAATACTCTGTCCAGTGAAACTATCCTTCAGATACGATGGAGAAATGAAAGCTTTCTCAGATAAACAAAAAGGTGAGGGAGTTCATCACCACGAGACCTCCAGTACAGGAAATGATTAAAGATGCTCTTATATCTGAAACAAAAAGGCAAAGATCTACAAAGCCTTGAGCAAGGAGATAAACAGACAGACAAAATGAGAAAACTGCAGCTGTCTTTCAGAATAGGGAAGCAAATACTCAATTATAACTTAAAAGATAAAGGGGAGGAAAGCATCAAAAGACACCTTGTCTTAGTCACAAACTCACAACACAAAACAGAATAATTTTTGACAACAATAACTCAGAAGGGGAAGAGGAGAGGGATGGAACCTGCTTAGGCTACTGGAGAAAGAGGCTACCAGAAAATGGACTATCTCATCTATGAGATCTTTTATACAAACTTCACAGTAACCACTAAACAAAAAAATCAGAGCAGAGTCACAATTCACTAAAAAAAAAAATTGAGAAAATCTCCACAGAAAACCACCAAAATGAAATGGCAGTCAGAAATACAAAGGAAGAGATACAATGGAAACATAGAACAACTGGAAAACAAGAGATAAAATGGCAGTATTAAGCCCTCATATATCAATGATCACTCTGAATGTAAGTGGATTGAATTCTCCAATCAGAAGACACTGGATAGATTAAAAACAAGACTCAACAATATGCTGCCTCCAGGAGACACATCTCAGCTCTAAAGACAAACACAGGGTCAGAGTGAAGGGATGGAAGACGATATTCCAAGCTAATGCTGATGAACATAGATGCAAAAATCTTCAACAAAATACTGGCAAACCAAATACAGCAATACATTGAAAGGATCATACACTATGATCAAGTGGGATTTTTTCCAGGGACTTGGGGATGGTTCAACATCCACAAAACAATCAATGTGATACACCATATTAACAAAATGAGGAATAAAGATCACGTGATCATCTGAATAGATGGAGAGAAAGCATTTGACATGATCCAACATCCCTTGATGATAAAAACTCTCAATAAAATGGGTATAGAAGGAAATTACCTCAACATAATAAGGGCCACATATGACAAACTCACAGCCAATGTCATACTCAATGGTGAAAAACTGAAAGCCATCCCTCTGAAAACAGGAATAAGACAAGGGTGCCCAATTTTGCCACTACTATTCAACATAGTACTGGAGGTTCGGCCAGAGCAATTAGGCAAGAAAAAGAAATAAAAGGAATCCAAATTGGAAAGGAAGAAATGAAACTCTCACTGTTTGCAGACAGCATGATTTTATATATAGAACAAAAAATCCCAAAATTTATATGGAACAACAGAAGACCTCAAATAGCCAAAGCAGTCCTGAGAAACAAGAACAAAGCTACAGGTCTCACAATCCCTCACTTCAAAATATACTACAAAGCTATGGTAATCAAAACAGCAAGGTACTGCCACAAAAACAGACATACAGATCAATGGCACGGAATTGAGAGCCCAGAAGTAAAACCACACATCTACGGAACAGTTAATCTTCAACAAAGGAGCCAAAAATATACAATGGAGAAAGGAAAATCTCTTCAGTAAATGGTGTTTGGAAAACTGGACAGCCACATGCAAAAGAATGAAAGTAGAACCATAGACAAAAATTAACTCAAAATGGATTAAAGACCTGAATGTAAGACCTGAAACCATGAAGTTCCTATAATAAAATATAGGCAGTACACTCTTTGACATTGGTCTTAGCAGCATCTTTTCAAATACCATGTCTACCAAGGCAAGGGAAACAAAAGAAAAAATTAACAAATGGGACTACATCAGACTAAAAAGCTTCTACAAGGCAAAGGAAATCGTGAATGAAATGAAAAGACAACCCACCAACTGGGAGAAAATATTTGCAAATCAGATATCCAACAAGGGGTTAATCTCCAAAATACATAAAGAACTCACACAACTCAACGACAAAAAAACAACCACCTGATCAAAAAGTGGGCAGAGGACACAAACAGACATTTTTCCAAAGAAGATATACAGATGGCCAACAGACACACGAAAAGATGTTCAACGTCACTAATTATTAGGGAAACGCAAATCAAAACTACAATGAGATATCACCTCACATTCATCAGAATGGCCATAATTACCAAGACAAAAAATAACAAATGTTGGAGAGGCTGTGGAGAAAAGGGAACCCACATGTACTGCTGGTGGGAATGCAAACTGGTGCAGCCACTATGGAAAACAGTATGGAGATTTCTCAAAAAATTAGAAATAGAAATACCATATGATCTAGCTTTCCCACTACTGGCTATTTATCCAAAGAACTTAAAATCAACAATCCAAAGAGATTTATGCACCCCTATGTTCATTGCAGCATTATTCACCATAGCCAAGATGTGGAAGCCACCCAAGTGCCCCTCTACGGATGAAAAGATAAAGAAGATGTGGTATATATACACCATGGAATACTACTCAGCCATAAAAAAGACAAAATTGTGCTGTTTGCAACAACATGGATGGACCTTGAAGGTATGATGTTAAGCGAAATAAGCCAGACAGAAAGACAAATGCTGCACGATTTCACTCATATGTGGAAGAGAAAAAAATACATGGAAAGAGAACAGATTAGTGGTTACTAATCTGTTAGTAGGGGAAGAGGGGAAGGGGGCTAGGGTGAGTGAAAGGGTAAAGGGGTACATATGTTTGGTGACGGATGAAAATTAGACAACTGGGGGTGAGTACAATGAAGTCTGTACAGAAATTGATAAATAGTAATGTATGTCTTAAATTACACAATGTTATAAACCATTATGATCTCAATAAAATAATTGAAAAAAAAACTAAGTGTATTTAGGGACGCTTTTCTTGGAATCCTGGAGGTGCAAAGATACTAAGAAATTACCTGGTCCAAGGAAAATGGTCTTGATGAAAAAAAGGAGACAATTTGTTTGACAGGACCGCAACTTCAGGGGAAGAATACACATCCAGAAGAAATAAGGACGATCGTTATCAGAACGTCAGCAGTAGGTAATGGGATTGTGGTGATTTTAATTTTCTCAGGCCTCTGGATGTCATGAAAATTCTGTAGTGAACATGTTACATTTAGATCAGGAAACAAAAATTAACAAAAATACTAAAGAAATTCTTAAGTTGCCTGGGGGCGCACGGGTGTGCATTTTATTACCATTCTTTATCATTTACCTATAGGTTGTATATACCTTTTGTATAAAATTTTTAATACTCTATTTTTTTCGGTTGTGGAACCTCCTGTTTAAATAAAATTCAGTTTGGAAGCTGCCTTCATCAAAACAGGGGTTCTCTGGAGGCCGGCTCCCTCAGCTCTTCCCTCCAACATCTAGAGACGACACCTAAGGGGATTGGAGACCTCAGGGGAGAGTGGCCGGGTCTGGCGACCTCACTGAGTCTCCTTTCATCCTCCTGCAGGTGGGGACACACGCAGGCCCAGAGGTGGCTGAAGTGGAACTGGCATCTAGGCCTTCTGACATCCCACTTGGCTTTCCCCCACTTCACTGCGTCTCTTCATTCAGGTTTCCTGCCTCTGTTTTTCTCCCTTGAACCCACCAAGGCTCTAAGTCTAAGGGGTAAAACTATGGTACTCTCCTCTTAATGCGATTTACCATATTCACTCATTTTTCAGAATTTGCCCTTAAAGATTGATTTTTCTTGGGCAGATGGCAGGAAAAGCGGTGAGAAGGAGGTGATGGAGGGGTGTGGAGGGAGGGTTGGGGGCTGCCTGCAAGCCCGGCCTGGTGGCTTGGTTGCCTGGCAGCCCCACTAGCGGGTTCTTGGGTCAAGTGCCGTCTGGAGGGGTTTCCTGGCTGCTACTGGGTCAGATGGGAGCTGACTGCCAAAACTGCCAACAGGAGATTTCACTGATGCCCCACGTCCCTAAGGGGCCCAGAACCCTGCCAGGTTCTGCTGAGGGCTCTTGGCCCAGCTGACCAGTGAGCGGGAAATCGATCTGATTCTCAGGGGGCAGAGTCCTGCAGAGAGTTATTCTGGGATCTGGCTCTGCTGTATGAACTCCGGAACAGCTCAGACGGGAAGGGTGAAATGCAGCTCACGTGCCCTCACTCTCCCTCCCGTCGCTGATCGCTAACAAGTGACAGATGCTTGCCCAGGAAAAGCCCAGGCTCAGCCTTCACCCCTTCTTAACTCACTGTTCCAGGCACACTCCCAGTGGATCAGGGGGGACACACGTGGACTTCCCATGCTGGAAAATGCAATCACCCACCAGATGTAAGTGTCAGCCTTCCGTGATCCCCAGCTTGGGGCGAGGCTGCTGATCCCGCTTTTCCTCGTCCGCGGAAAAGCCGCTGGGGCGTGGGCTGCGATCCCTGCACGCTGGCTCGGCAGGACTTGGAGTGCAGGTGACTCCATGCTCCTTCGAATGCACCGTCTACAGGGCGAGGTTTCTGTGGCTGGGTCACTGACTTCTGCTTCCCCTGCCGCCAGTAGTCCTGGCGTTTCAGTTCTCAAAACTGCACTTGAATCGAGAAAAATGATGGCCGGGACTTCCTCTCCTGACTTCCAGGATTCTGACCTAAGCCGAGACACAACCAGGCTCAGGAATGGGGCTTCGGTCTCTGGGTCCACAGCCCTGGATTTTAGGATGTTAGGGAATCTGTCCTGGGGCTCTTTTGCCCAGTTTCCCCAGCGGACAGCAGTTTAGAGCTGGCGGGCCAGCCTTTGCTGGGCGCCCCTGTGGTCTAGGGCTCCTGAGAGGGGACCATGGTTTCCAACATCCCGGTGACTCACGAACTCTGCACCTGGACTCCAGGTCCCTTGTGGCCGGCCCTGTGGAGGCTGACACCCGGCGGGGGAAGGAGGTGGTGAAAGAGATCTGAGATTTGGGAGGGAGAGGTTTGTCCCTCTGACTGTCCTGCATTACAGTGAGTTTTCACTGGGATTGGAAGTCTAAACTTAGACAGGTTTAGAAAGAAGTTTCAGACGGTGTGGCCCTCCCAGGAGGACGCAGGGACGTGGGATGGTGACACATCTAGGGAAAGAAGGAGACTTATGACATGTTCACGTGGACTTGGCTGGGAAGAGAGAGAGGCCAAGAGGAGCTGGCAGACTGAGAGATGGCGGAAGGTTCCAGGATCTGAGGCTTCTGGGGGTCAACGGTCAGAAGGAGCGAGACCGGAAGCTGCGGAGACCCAGGAAGACCGCCACGCCCTCCCACAAGAGGGCGTCTGCGTCACACCAGCTGTGAGGTCCTGGGCAAGTCATAAAGCTCTTTGTGCCTTAGTTTCCATATCTGAAAAATGAGGATAATAATAGTGCCTACTTTATTTGACTGGCCTGGGGGTTTAAGGAGGTAATACCGGGAAGCGTTTAAAGTAATTTCTAGCACAAAGGAAACACAGCAACTGTGAGCAATTCTTATGTCTTTGGCCGTGGCTGGTGGACTCCGGGCCTCAGCCCAAGTGGCAAATGTCGTGCTGCCCTGTTGTGCTGTTCTTTAATATTGTGCCTGGCTGGTGCTGGGCATGGAGCGGATCCTGGGTGCCTGCTTCTTGCAGAACCTGGAGAGAACAGCGAGGACTGGACTTACCGGCTGACCCAGCAAATTGTGCGTATGTTTGTGTGTATTTTTTCCTTTTGGTATTTGTTTGTTCATTCACTCAACACAATTGTATAGAGCATCTCTTATGGGCACAGGGTGTTGTTGAGTGAAGAAGCCCCATTCCTGCCTTCTGGAGGCTCACGGCCCAGGAGGGGCGGCCAGGCATTAATCAAATGTGCACAAAGAAATGTCCAATTACAGTGGAGGTGGGTGACATCTACCAGGGGCATTGGCGGGTCTGGGCCCCAGCCGCTCCTCACCCCCTCCATTGTCCCCACCTGGTCCTGGCCACCCTCACCTCATCCCTGGAAGTCTACAGTTGCCTCTTCAGGGTCTCCCAGCTTCCACCGCTTCCTCCGCCAGTCATTTTTCCTTACAGCCGCCAGTGTGATCCTTTTTAAAGTCCGAGCATGTCGTTCTCCGATGGCTCCCCACATCGTTCAGAGTAGAATCCAAACTCCCCACGAAGCCCTCTGGGTCCTTAAATGATGACTCTCCATTTCCTCTCTGATCTCATCTCCTTCCAATCCTGCCCTTCTCGCTCTCCCTAAGCCATGCCTGCCTTTTTGCTCCTGCCTCAGGGCCTTTGCGCTTGCTGTGCCTTCTGCCTAGGACCCTTTACCCTCAGCTATCAGCATGGCTCCCTCACTGCTTTCAGGTGTCTGCTGGAATTTTGCCTTATCGTAGAGACCTTCCTTGATACATAACAGCATTTGCATCCCCTTGACACTCTCTACCCTTTTTCTTCACCCCTTTTCTTCAGGGCACTTATGACCACCTGGCATATTTCACTGTTGATTTAGGGTTACTGTCTCCCCTCTCCTGCCCACAGAGGATGGGAACTTAATTTGTTTTGTTTGTTGCTGTATCCCAGCACCTAGCACGGTGCCTGGCATGTAGTAGGTGTTCAATGAATGCTTGTTGAATGAATGAATGACTTTATTTGAGATCTGAAGGAAGGGTATGTGTTAACCAAGCAAAGGGAAGAAAGGAGGATTCTAGGCCCAGAAAACAGCTCATGAGAAGTCCTGCAGCCGAAGGCATGTCTTCTAGATGAGGAATTGAAACCCTCACTTGGGGAGTGACAGGGAGGTTGGTGTGGACCGAGGCCTGGGAAGTCAGCAGGGGTCAACTGAGGCCTGGTGGGGGAGTTTGGCCTTTATCCTAAGAGCTTTAGGAGCCTGCTGAATGTTTCATACAGAGGCATGACAAGATCAGATTTGTTTATCAAAAAGACCATTCTGGTGGAATAACTAACAGCAGATCTGGGCAGCCCGCCTATGAGGCCTTTGCGAGACGATGGTAGCTCGGGCCAGGCTGGTGGAGATGGAGACAGGCAGATGGACACACTCAAAGGCAGCCTTGAAGGGGTTTTGGGCGGGACAGGATGCAGCGATGTGGAGGTGACAACTAGGAAACGATGGAAGAGGGTGAGACCCCTTTTTGGGGAGCTGTACTCAGGAGTTTGGCTTGTTGAGCTGGGTGCATCTTTGAGACGGTCCAAGCTCAGACATCAAGGGCATGACTGGTGTAGACATCCGAGGTTAGAAGGACGTTTAGGCTAGATTTTGTGAGATATCCAGGAACCTGCTCACAAGTGAGGCCCTGGGGGCCCCTGGAGGGTCTTATATTTGGGTTGTTTAATCTATTTTGAGTTAATCTTTGTGAGTCATGTAAGATAGGTGACCGATTTCATTTTTCTGTGTGTGGCTTTCCAGTTTTCCCAGCACCGTTTGTTGAAAAGACTGTCCTGTCCCTGTTGAGAGCTCTTGGCTCCCCTGTCAACCATTGGTTGACTGTATATGTAGAGTTTAATTCTGGGCTCTCTATTCTGTTCCATTGGCCTATGTGTCTATTTTTATGCCAGTACCATACTGTTTTAAGCACTATAACTTTGTAGTATTGTTTGAAATGAAGAAGCATGGTTCCATACAAATTTTGGTTTTTTTCTTTTATTTCTGCAAAAAATGCCATTGGAGTTTTGGTAGAGATTACAGTGAATCTTTAGATGTCTTTGGGTAATATGGACAATATTATTTCTTCTGATCCATGAACAGGGGTTATATGTCCATTTGTTTGTGTCGTCTTCAATTTCTTTCATAAAAGTCTTGTAGTTTTCATTGCATCAATTTTTCGCTTCCTCGGTTAAATTTATTCTTAAGTATTTTATTGTTTTTGATGCTATTGTGAACGTGATGGTTTTCTTTATTTCTTTTTGAGATATTTCATTGTTAGTGTATAGAAAAAAACCTGTTTTCTGTGTTGATTTTATATCCTACAACTTTACTGAATTTGTTGATTAGTTCCAATAGTCTTTTGGTTGAGTCTTTAGGATTTTCTCTAAGATTGTATTATCCACAAATAATGATGGTTTTACTTCTTCCTTTCGGATTTGGATGCCTTTTACTTCTTTATCTTGCCTGAATGCTTTATCTAGGACTTCCAGGATTATGTTGAATACGAGAGGTGAGAGCGGGCACCCTTGTCTTGTTCCTGATCTCAGAGGGAAAGCTTTCAGCCTTTTAGCATTGAGTATAATGTTAGCGGTGGGCTTCTCATATATGGCCTTTGTCATGTTGAGGTAAGTTCCTTTTATATGCAATTTGTTGAGACTTGTTATCATGAAAGGATGTTATATTTTGTCAAATGCTTTTTCTGCACCTATTAAGATAATCATATGATTATGATCCTTCATTCTATTCATGTGGTGCATCACGTTTATTGATTTGCATATGTTGAACCATCCTTGCATCCCAGGAATAAATCCTGCATGATCATGGTGTACAATCCTTTTAATGTGCTGTTGAATTTGATTTACTAACATTTTATTGAGAATTTTTGCATCTATATTCAGGGGTATTGGTTCATGTTTTTCTTTTCTAGTAGCATCCTTATCTGGCTTTGATATCAGGATAATGCTGCCTCATAAAATGAGTTTGGGAATGTTCCCTTCTCTTCAGTTTTTGGGAAGAGTTTGAGAAGGATTGGTGTTAATTCTTCTTTTTCGTTTCATTCATTCAATTCTTCAGCTCCAGAATTTCTGTTTGGTTCTCTTTTTATAATTTCTATCTCGTTCTTAAGCTTTTCTTTTTGTTCGTGTATTGTCTCCTGACTTTTTTCAGCTGTCTTTCTGTGTTTTTTTGAGTCCTCCAAACAGCTATTTTGAATTCCTTATCAGGTAGATTGCAGAATTCTGTGTCTTTGAGTTTGGTTACTGGAGGATTATTGTTTTCTGTTGGTGCTGTCCTGTGTCCTTGATTCTTCGTATTCCTTGGAGTTTTACGTTGCTGCTTTTGCATTCGAAGTAGCAGCAACCGCCTCCAAACTTTACTAGCTCCCTTCAGGTGGGAGATATTTTCCACTGGTTGTGCTCACATCTGGGACTTTCTCCAACCTTGTATGGATACACTTGTTTCACTTGCTCCCTCTTGTGGCAGAATTATTAAGCTTGCATGTCTTCTCTCCATCTTATGACTCACCAGGCTGGCTGTTGGAAACCTCTCTTGTTTTCCAAAAGGTGGCACTATAGCTCAAGTTTGTGGTTTCTTCTTTGCCCACAGAGCTGGACAGTTTTCTGAGAGCACTCCCTCCCTGTCTGCTAGAGGCTGCTTTTGCCACCACACTAGGGAGCACACACAAGAACCAGCTGCAGAATGGGGGAGGTGTGGGGTTAGCACTTGGGGCATTTGGGGTGCTTGTGGCTCAGAAGGGGGATCTTTGGGTGAGGTTTCCCCAATGGCACATGGGAAGACTTCCTGCTGGAGTCCTGAAGGTGTCCCGTTAATGCCTTCTGAGATATGTATAGATCTATCTATCTATCTATCTATCTATTTATCTATCTATCTATATTTTTTCCTTAAGGAAGATTGTCCCTGAGCCAATGTCTGTGCCAATCTTCCTCTATTTTGTATGTGGGTCACTGCCACAGCATGACAGACGAGTGGTGTAGGTCCTCACCTGGGATCTGCACCTGCGAACCTGGGCCACCAAAGCGAAACAGGCCAAACTTAACCACTACACCACAGGCTGGCCCTTGACCTCTGGTACTCTTATCTGCCTCTTTCCTGATCTCCTTCCTTCAGTCATGGAGGTCCTGCCTCAATACTCTGAGTCCTGCAGGACAGAAATGGGTTCCTAAACAGCATCCCACACACTGGGGTCTCCCTTTCTCCCTAGGGAGAGGCCAGCTAGTTCAGCCCCAGGCTGTGCTGCCCTGGGGGAGGGGCAAAACTGGTGAAGTTCCTCTTAACCTCTCCAATGTGTTCAAACTTCTATATATATATATATTTGCTCTATTGGAGTGCTGGAATCTCTCCTTGGGAACTCGGGACTTCTACAAAGGCTCTCTTGTACATGGTGTCTGCCCAAGTCGGCATTCACCACTCTTCCCCAACTGTGGCCAGAAGGGCTGGAGTCAGTTCACCGGCTCCACGGAGGTCTGTCTACCTTTTACCCAATGCATGGGTAGGAGAGACTCCTTCAAGGTCCATTGGGGCATGGTGCAGGGTCCCACAACTCCCATAGAGGCCCTTTCATTTGTGGATGGATGCCGACTTTTAGTTGCTAAACGGGAGGATAAAAAGGAGGGATGTCTTATGCCTCCAGGATGCTCTAGCCCATTCTTTTTAGCACTGAGTAATCTTCCTTTTCATGATGTACTACACTTTGTTGATCCATTCACCTGTTGAAGGACATGCTGGTTGCCTCCAAGTTTTGGCAATTATGAATAAAGCTGCTATAAACTTTTGTGTTCCAGGCTCTCTTTTAACACTCCAAGGAGACCCTACAGCCAGCCCCCGAGGCCTGTGGCACACTGATTTCCTCTTCATGGCACAGTGCCATTGGGGTTTCTAGGCTACGAGAACAGAAGGACATTTCCACACTACTGTTTTCTAGTGCTTGCTTGCCAAACACTTGCTGTTTTCCTTCTTGGTTTCTTCCTTAAATAAAAAGACAGCAGAATAAACAGTGACCAGGATTATGAATGGAAGCTACCGTGATGAGAGAGAGACATGAAAGCAGAAGTAAGAGAATGTAATCCTTGCTTTCTGTGGGGCAAGCCCAGACAGAGTCTAGAATGACTGGGCTGTGTAGAGAAGAGAAATGAACTCTGTGGGCAGAACCATGAACCTGTTTGTGGCCACCTTCCTTCTCTCTCTTTCAGGTGCCTGGGGCAGAAGCATTGACAGGGAAGTAAGTGAAAATGATAAGTGTCGGGTGGAACAACTGAAATGGCAAAGACTTTCTGTTTATTTCATTTATTCATTTATTTCATATTTCTGTTAATTCCTGCATGCCTAGTAAAAGAACTGATAAAATCATCTGCATTATTCCAGAGATTGTTAATTCCAACCGTCCTCACCTGCATATAGCATTAAAAAAGTTTTCTTTTGGAATAATTTATGAGGTAGAGCGCCGTGTGGTACACCAGCTTGTGGTCGCCTACCGGCAGGACCCGCTGCAGGGGGCTGGAGTCTGTACAGCACTGTGGAGGACTCGGATAAGCAGCTACTCAGGAGCCCTAAACTGCCCTCACCCCAGGCTGGGATGCGGCTGGAGATCATCGATAAGGACAGCGAGACCCACAAACTGGACACTGGGCACCACTACACCCTCAGAAGGTGTGCCACACCCCCTAGCATCTACCTACCTGCCTATCCATGCCCTCAACATCCAATAAAGGCCCCTCGGCTGTGGCATGGAAAAAAAAATTTAGATGATATAGCATTTTGTAGTTTGCAAAGAACTTTCTATCCATCAACTTATCTAACTCATACAGATTGCCCCTGTGAGGGTAAAGCAAGGTAGGTACTTTTTGACCCCATTCTATAGATGAGAAAACTGAGGCGCAGAGGTCCTTTGACCTGCTCAAGGTCATACAGCAAATGGATGGCAGAGCCGAGACTAGAATTCAGGGGTTTTGACTCCCAACCCGGTGCTCTTCCCAATTGCCTGAGGTCAGGGGCAGTTGAGGGAAGTGAAGGGACCAGTGGAGGTAAGTGGGGTGGTGAGGACACCACTTGGGGGAGGGGTCATGCACAGAGACGCGTGCTCAGGTGGTGGCTGGTTATGGACAAGGATGGGCGAGAGTCACTTGTCTTCAGGCTGGGCTTGGTGGGGGGTCTCAGTTGAGCAGATGTCCCCATGCTTCAGGGCAGAATTTGGCTTTGACGGTTGAGAACTCAGTTTTGTTCCTCATTTCCGCAAATATTTGCTCACTTAAGTCCCAGGTCCTGTGCTGGAGAAAAGGGGTAAGGTTTACTCTCACAACCAGAGAGCTTGTTGTTGGCGGTGATTGGAGTGTTTCGCCACGTCCACATTCCTCAAGAGACTGATTTATAAGCTGGGCTTCTAATCTGTTGATTTGCAATGGGAAATGTTCCTGGCCTGGTAATTGGTTATTTTCACTTACCAGGTGGAAAGGTTTGTCTAGGAGACCAACTGATCAGCATGAACAGTGCTTGATGAAAGCAGAATTAATCACCAGGAATGGGTGCTGTCAAAGGTCGCCTATGCCAAGCTGATCCAGTCTGCTGTGTTATCCTATTGTGCATTACGCTTGTCTCAGTAATAGTCTGTCACTTTCTGCTGGAGAGACACTAACACATTGTTACTCTCAACTATTTTTTCTGGATTCTTTTCTGGTTGTTAGACACCCTCGTCCTGCCATCTCCAGCCTCATGGCTCAGAGACAATGCCTGGGGGTGAGACCTATGTGGGTTCTAGAATCTGGTGGCCAGCATTCGAATCCCAACCTTGTCACTCATTTTAACTCATGCAGACACTTTCCCTCCGTTTCTTCTTCTGTAATTGGGGCTGAGGCAATTCCCAGGAAATTCCCTCTAGCACTCTTGGCCACAGACACTCAGGGAGACGGGAATGAGGAGCACTCCAGCATGGAGAGTGATGGCGACTAGTTAGGAGTGTGTATTAATAGGGAAAGAACTGATAAAATACAGGATCTGAAATGATGGAAAAGTCTGCACCAGTCAGGAGGAATGGCCTTCAGCTTCCTGGAAGGATCTCAGACCTTTGATTTTCAGCTGAAAAAGCAGCTGAATGAGATGCTGATCAACTCAAATTTATTGATCCCTTTTGTCATTAGTTTTATGAAGTGGGAGTTCATAGAACAGGACTTTATGGCAATGAGATAAGAGTCGCTCCACCTTGCAGGTGAGGACGCGGGGGCCTGAGTTATTTATTTATTTATTTATTTTATTTATTGCTTTCTAAATAGTTTATAACATTGTGAAATTTCAGTTGTACATTAATATTTGTTAAACACCATATAAATGTGCCCCTGCACCCCTTGTGCCCACCCTCGCCCCTACTTCCCCTGGTAACCACTAAATTGTTCTCTTTGTCCGTAAGTTTGTTTATATTCCACATGTGAGTGAAATCATATGGTTTTTGTCTTTCTCTGTCTGGCTTATTTCGCTTAACGTGATGACCTCAGGGTCCATCCATGTGGCTGCGAATGGGACGATCATGTCTTTTTTATGGCTGAGTAGTATTCCACTGTATATATATATACACCACATCTTCTTTATCCAATCGTCAGTCGCTGGGCACCTGGGGTGTTTCCACGTCTTGGCTATTGAGAATAATGCTGCAATGAACATAGGGGTGCACAAGTCCCTTTGTATTGTTGATTTCAAGTTCTTTGGGTAAATACGCAGTAGTGGGATAGCTGGGTCATATGGTAATTCTGTTTTTAATTTTTTGAGAAATCTGCATACTGTTTTCCAAAGTGGCTGCACCAGTTTGCGTTCCCACCAGCAGTGGACGAGGGTTCCCTTTTCTCCACAACCTCTCCACCGTTTCTTATTTTTTGTCTTGGTGATTATAGCCATTCTAACGGGTGTAAGATGATATCTAAGTGTACTTTTGATTTGCATCTCCCTGATGATTAGTGACGTTGAGCATCTTTTCGTGTACATATTGACCATCTGTATATCTTCTTTGGAAAATGTCTATTCATATTCTCTGCCCACTTTTTGATCGGGCTGTTTATTTTTTTGTAGTTCAGTTCTGTGAGCTCTTTATATATTTTTGAGATTAACCCCTTATTGGACATATGATTTGCAAATATTTTCTCTCAGTTGGTGGGTTGTTTTTTCATTTTGATCCTGGTTTCCTTTGCCTTCCAGAAGCTCTTTAGTCTGATGAAGTCCCACTTGATTATTTTTTCTTTTGTTTCCCTTGTTTGAGTGGACTTCTTATTTGTAAAGATAGTTTTAAGGCTGATGTCAAAGAGTGTATTGCCTATATCTTCTTCCAGAAGTTTTATGGTTTCAGGTCTCACTTTCAAGTCTTTGGTCCATTTTGAGTCTATTTTTGTGTATGGAGAAAGATAATGGTCTACTTTCTTTCTTTTGCATGTGGCTGTCCAGTTTTCCAAGCACCATTTATTGAAGAGGCTTTCCTTTCTCCATTGTATGTTCTTGGCTCCTTTGTTGAAGATTAGCTGCCCGTAGATGTGTGGTTTTATTTCTGAGCTTTCAATCTACTCCATTGATCTGTGTGCCTGTTTTTGCACTAGTACCATGCTGTTTTGATTATTATAGCTTTGTAATATGTTTTGGAGTCAGGGGTTGCGATGCCACCAGCTTTGTTCTTGTTTCTCAGGATTGCTTGGCTATTTGGGGTCTTTTGTTGCCCCATATGAATTTTAAGATTCCTTGTTCTAGTTCTGTGAAGAATGTCACTGGGATTCTGATGGGGATTGCATTGAATCTGTAGATTGCTTTAGGTAGTATGGACATTTTAACTACGTTTATTCTTCTAATTCACATACATGAAGTCTACTTTGTCTGATCTAAGTATGGCAACTCCTGTTTTCTTTTGTTTGCCACCAGCTGGGAGTATTGTCTTCCATCCCTTCACTCTCAGCCTGTGTTTGTCTCTAGAGCTGCGATGTGTTTCCTGGAGACAGCGTATTGTTGGGTCTTGTTCTTTAATCCATCCTGCCACTCTGTGTCTTTTGACTGGAGAATTCAATCCACTTACATTTAGAGTGATTATTGATATATGAGGGCCTAATATTGCCGTCTTATTGCACTTTTCCCAGTTCTTCTGCATTTGCTTTGTTTCTCGTCCCTTGTATTTCGGACTATTAATTTGATTAGGTAGTTTTCTCTGTTGGTTTTCTTCATTTCCTGAGTTTTTTATTTCAGCCTGTCTAGTGGCTGGGAAATGATATCTCATTGTGGGTTTTTTGGGGCAGGAAGGTACATTTTAAATTTTTATTTAAACTTATGTTGTCTTATCTGTTAATACCTTATTTATGTTACTACCTTGTCTGTGAAATAAATATATAAAGTTCTTAAAATTAGTGATGATGCTAAAGCTGTACTAGCTAGGAAGCAAGATAGGATGAGGGTGGGTCTGGATGTATGCATGACCAAATCTTTTTTCTGAAGATTATGACCTTTTGAACAGTAGTAATCTCTTAAGTACCTATATGTCTGTTTCCTGTTCTTTTTCAAAAAATTGTGGTAAGACATGCATAACGTGAAATTCACCATTTTAATCATTTTAGATGTACCATTCAGTGGCCTTAAGTATATTCACATTTTTGTGCAACCACCAATTCCACTCTCATTGGGGCTTTAAACTGCATTTCTCTCGCAACTAATGGTGCTGAACACCTTTTCAGATGCTTGTTAGCTATTCATCTATCTTCCTTAATGAAATGTCTGTTCAAATCTTTGGCCTCCTTTAAAACATTGAGTTGTTTGCCCTTTTTTATCAGCGATTTATAAGAGTTGTTTATATGTTCTAGATGTCCAAAGTCTGTAGTCCGTGGCGAGACACAGATTGCCATTAGATTTACGTGGACAGTGGCCTCTTTAACTTGCAACCTCCTCTGACCACAGAAAGCCCTGAGTTGCTTTTGTAGCTGCATCTCACCATTTGTTTACATCCTTCGATTTTCTGGGATAACCTCCCATCCCACTGCACATATGCTCACATTGAAACTACTGCGGAATCTAGGAATTGAAACTGCAGGCCAGATTTAGAAGGAATTGTGCAATGTGGGGGCAGTTCCTAAGAGTTACCGCCATGCGGTTTTGAGTGACTCCTGCATCAGAAGCTTGTTTTTTGTCATTCTCTTGCTGACTAGGGGACCGTGCACGTGAATCCAGGTAGGAATGTGTGGAAGTTCTTTGTGTTTGACTGTGAGCATCCGTATGTGTTCTCCTTGGAGGTTCACCCACTAGAAAACTGGGATCAGGAAGAGCTTGCACACGCGCCTGGAGGAATCCGGAACCACTGTTACTCTTGGAGTCGCATCTCTGATGTCTTCGGCGATTTCCAAGAAGGAGGCGAGTGCACTGGGGCCTTGTTGACAGCACCCTGAATTCAGAGTAGTTACTCCGAGAAAGGTTGGGGAGGGAAGTGTCTGTTCTTTTATCTTTGTGGGTCTCATTCGGCCAACAGAGGTTGAGAATCAACTGGTTAAAACATGGGGCTTGGGAGCGGAGGGATGTGAGTTTGAACTCTGACTCTGCTGCTCGCTGCTTTTTTGATCTCAGGTAAATCACTTAACCTCTCTAAGATTCAGTTTCCTCATCTTAAAAATGGGGATAATTGTTCCTTCTTCATAGGGGTGTTGTCAGAATGAAATGAGATAATAGATATAGTGGAAATCTTTCAATAAATATGGGTTATTATAATTATTAATAAAAATTTGCTAAGCATCCTTTTTTGTTTTAAGATTGGCACCTGAGCTAACATCTGTTGCTGGTCTTCCTCTTTTTTCTTTTCTTCTTTCTCTCCCCAAAGTCCCCCAGTACACAGCTGTACATTCTAGTTGTAGGTCCTTCTGGCTCTGCTATGTGGGACGCCGCCCCAGCATGGCTCTCTGAACAGTTCCAGGTCTGCTCCCAGGATCTGAACCGGCAAAATACTGGGCCACCAAAGGGGAGTGCGTGAACTTAACCACTCAGCAACAGGGTCGGCCCCTAAGCACACTTATCTTAAAGCATCCAGCAGTCCCAGAGCCTCCTATCCTTTTGTTCTCTGGTATACTTTGGGGATCAAGGCACAAAGTCAGGCCGATGTTGGCTCAAATGCCCCCTCTGTCACTATGGACTGCTGTGAACTTGGACACGTCATACAACTTCCCTGAGCCTCAGTTTCTCCGTGAGTGTGAGGGGTATAGCATCTCCCCACAGAGAGTTGCTGCCACGTCTCTCATATAACAAGCTCTCGACGAGTGTTGGTTCTCTTTCTGTTCATAGAGCAGCTTCTCTCCTGTTTTCATTTGTGCATGTGTGTGGGTGAGAATGTTGGTGCCAGAATGTGGCGTTGCTGGGTCAGAGAGGGCTGAGAAGATACGTGGGCATTTCTTTTTCAGACAACTCCTCAGTGAGAGGTCCTGGCTGGGAGGGCGGCTGGCAGTGCGATGCCAGTAAGGGCCGGGCTGGCAGCGTGTGTGAAATTCTGGTGCTAGGGAGCTGCCGGGATTTGTGCTCCTACATCATTAAGACCAAAGGAGCTGAAGAAGAAAAGAGAGATGGTCTTCATTAAAGATGATTGCAGTCATCACACCTCGCTGTCACCACGGACAATCTGCAGGAGGATGATGCTGACATACACTGGTGTGCCGTAGAAAAATGCTTGAGGGAACTGGGGGGCCCAGTGGAAATCATGGTGGCTTCAGGTAAGAGGCCTCCCCAGGTGTGTGTGTTTAGGTGTTTGCATGTGTGTCTGTGTCTCTTTCTAAGAGTATGTTGTGTCTATGTATGTGTTGTGTGTGTATCTATGTTTATGTGTGTTGTATCCACATGTGTTTTCTGTATATATATTGTGTGCATGTCTGTGTTTGTTTTGTATCTCTTGTATATGTGTGTATTGTGTCCATATGTGTTTTGTGTCTGTGTTTTTTGTACACAATGAACACATGTATGTTGTGTCTGTATGTGTTTTGAGTCAATGCATTGGTTGTGTGTGTGCCTGCTGGGTAAGTGTGTTGTGTTTGCATGTCTGTGTGCATAAGTGCATTGGGTTTGTGTGTGTGCCCGCTGGGTGTGCATGTGTTGTGTGTCACACGTATGTATACATGCAATGTCATCTGTGTGTTGAGCCTCACTGCTGACACAGGGCCTGGGGTGAATCTTGGCGCAAGGGGCAAGGTGGGCTGCAGAGAGGTGGCTGGAGGCTGGGGACGTGGCCTCGGGTGGGCTGAGGGCTGGGCTTGCAGCAGCTCGGATGATGGTGGCATTTCCTCTTCTCAGCAGACACGTGTGGAGGGCATTTTGTGCCCTGGGATGGCGTGTTCTAGGATCACTGGGAAGAACGTGGAGATGTTTCTCTTTCAGCGAAGATCCTGGGCCTTGTCGTGGGTTTCCAAAGGACCCTGTTCCCTGTAGGACCAAGAACCAAATCCTAGACCTCATCGAATCTCTCCTGATTTCGTCTCTCTTTTGCATAACGTTGGGGGAGATGATTTCCAGCAAGCATGCCTGGAAAGGAGAGCTATCGGCATTGCTTGTGTGGCTCATTTTCTTGACAAACTTGGGTTCCTGTAGTGTGTGGTGACCACGTGTCTTATGGTGACCATCCTGAGTGTTGACCACTTCCAGTTGCATAAGAAGGTGGGAGAGGAGCAGCAAGGAGGAGGAGTGTGGTGTGAAGGCTGATCCTGGCGGGTTTGAGCTCAAACCCCAGCTCTTCCTTCATGAGCTGTGAGACCCTGAGAGAACCACTCCTCAGAACCTGTTTTTGCATCTGTTCGTGGGGTTGCTCATGACACCCAATTCATAGGGTTGAAGGGATTAAACTGGACTGACCATCAAAAGCACTTTGAGTGGTGCCTGACAATAGTAAGTACCTAAGAGCAACTTTTCATAAACGTACATCTTAATTCAAGGTGTCCCTGTGCTGCATATGGTGCAATCTGTGATGGCTCTCCACTTCCTTTGCTGGCCAGTGACCCTACCCCCTTGAAGCTGCAGTGGGATGCTCTAAGCCAGCTAACTCCTGTTCTATGTAGAACGGGAGGGAGAAGTGTGGGGTGATGCAGGGAGGTCAGGAGAGAAGACACTTATTTGATCTGGTTTATTTGCTTGGAAATAACAACAGTGCCAATCCTGACCTCGCCTGACCCAGGCATCTTGTCTCAGAGTGAACTGTTCAAAGGTGGCATTCACATTTGGTAAGGAGACATGGAGTTGGTGTCTCTGATAGCTCTGAGTCTTTCCCTGGGAAAACTTACAGGCATAAACCTTTGCCTTGGGTTCTCTTGGTATTTGGCCAGCTCCAGTTAGCGAGGGCTCTGGAGTTCATTCTGAAACCAGACTATGGGAATGTGCAAGCCGCATCTCAGTGTTGCAGCGTTCCTCTTCTGCTGGGTTCCTCTGGAGACAAGTCAAGTCGTGGGGGTGGAGGCAGAGGCAGTGCCCATGTTCCAATTTGTCCAGTGATGGATTGATGGAGGCAAAGGCGGAGGAAGGACAGGTGGCAGCACTGTCTAGTACAAGCGTCCTCAACGTGGGGCAGGGCAGAGATTTGCATCACTGGGGCTGGAACAATCTGGGTATCAGGGATGGGGGTGAGGGGCTTATCTGGACCCAAACAAAATGGCCTCTGTGTCCCTGACTGGAGGATGTCCCAAGTGTGGGACAGGGCTGCAGGGCTTGAGGATCTGAAGCCCAGTGGGGAGAAGGAAGAAAACAGGAGAGAACCTCCATTCTGATGTTCATCTTCCCCCTGGTACCTGGGGCTCTGACAATGCAGATCTCCCGTGATGTCCTCCTGGTAGACCCAAAGGCCTACTCTCCCATCTGCCTGGCTTGGCCTCCCCTGCTTTTGACATTGTTGACTGCTCCCTTTGGGAAATGTTTCTGTGTATCATTTCCCCTGGTTCTTCTGTTTCTCTGAACTTAATTTTTTGATTTTCTCCATTAGTTCCTCTTCCTTGGCCAACTGCTTAAATGCCAGGGTCCTCAACACCCGTGCCTTCTTCCTGGTCTGCAGCAGAGATTCTCTCAGGTATGCTGGTCGTGCTGACACATGCTTCACTTGGAGAACATGGTTTTCCAACCCTGTCTCATCCATTCTACTGGTCTCACTGAGGCCCTCTGTCAGACTCTCCAATCAGAGTACCTCCCTTCCACCTCTCTTGGACATCGACCTGGAGATGCTCCCACCACTGCTCCTGAAGCCCCTCCAACTCCCCATGCCTCAGACCAAATTTCTACTTTCCCTCTCAGCCTGCTCCGCCTGGGTTCCCTGACTCATTTCATGGTGTCCTCAGCCCTACTTTTAGCACAGCTTGAAATCCTAGATTTGTTTTTGGCTCCTTATCCTTCACCTGCAATGGGTCAAAAAAATCTTGTCAATTCTACCTTTATTTAATAGCTCTCAAATTTTTCTTGTTTGGTTTATTCTCATAGCCACTCTCATGATTCGGATTTTTATTACTAGACTCTCCTCTTTCCAGTCCATTCCACATACCCCTGCAGGAGAGGTCTCTTTCTAAAGCTGATCAAGTCACTCCTTTACTAAAAAAAGCTTCAGAGGGTGCTTGTCACTTTCAGGGTAAAGTTCTAGGCCCTCCATGATCCATTCCTCTGCTCACCTCTGTAGCTTTATCACTCCTACTCCCATGACACCTCGTGCTTCAGCCACTGCGGACTGATCCCAGCTCTCAGCTACTCTTTCCTATTTCTTCTGAGTGGTCACCCTGGCTCTTCTGGCTGTAACAATCTTTCCATCTCCTAAGCCCGCGTTCCAGCATCACCTCCTCTGCGAAGCATCCCCTGACCTGTCCAGTCACAGCGGTCATGCCCATCCTCTGGGTTTTCATTGCTCTTAGCACATTGTTTTATGGTTGGTTGCCCACTGGATTGCAAGTCCCACTGGGGCTGGGGACTGCCCTGTTCATCTTTGTATTTCACACCCTTGGTACTGGGCCTGCCCCAGAGTAGATACTCTGTAAATGTCGGTTGAATTTTTGTTGCTGAATGAGGCGCACTGCAAGGATATGTACTTCTGTAGGCGTTTGTTTGTTGCCTCTTTGCTACACAAATCAAACTTCAGTCTCTTGGTAATTTGTTAGCAAGCAAGTGGGATATAGCAATACACGTTAAAACTGGTCTGCTTTTGACAAACTTCACTCCTTTGACATTAAAGTGAGTTGTCCAATGAATTATGGTATCAAAAGAAAAGAAAATATCCTGGGCCCAAATGAAGAACTGAGAAGAGACTTTCGTTGGGGAATTTACTGCGAATGACTCAAAATAGATTTCAGATGGAAAAGCACCTTTAAAACAAATTTCCAGGAAAGATCAAAATCTTGAAATTAATGATTTTTGAGAAGCCATTCTATCCTGGAGCCTGTCTGTGCTGACCAAAGGATTCACAGGGTTACTGCGTGGAGAAAATTTGACAACAGATGAGCAGTGCTCTGAGAGTCAAAGGTGTGATTCTAATGGACGACATTGCTTGATGAGCAGGGTAGAGCGTTTCTCCTGGGGCCTGGTGTAGCCCCAGCTGCTCTGTGGCCTTCAAATGGCAGACAGAAGGTAGAAAAGCATTTTGAAATAGATGTTACTCTGGCTTGAATGTCTACTTTTAGCGTCTTTCTCCCCTGGTGGACCGCCTCCACTGCTCTACATGAGCCAGTCACTAAAATGGGTGTGGCTTAGGAGTGGACACTGAGGAAGAAATGGGGGACCAGAAGAGACACTCACCACCTGCCCCGATGTCCCTCCCATAGGTCCTTGCTCATCAGCCTCCGCTCCCTGCTCCTGCTCCTGCTGCAGGTGGTCCCGCTCCTGGGCCTGCTCTGTGCTGTGATCTGGGTGAACCTCAGAAAGGGGGCTGAGGGGAGGTGAGCCAAAGACCTCCATTCTCTTCTGCATCAGCTTCTCAGGCCAGTTTTTTAGAGGAGCCAAACCTTTGACCCTCAGCACCGAGCCCTTCCCCGATGGGCTTGAGAGGAGAATGAGAGGCAATGACCTGTCTATACCTGTGGCCTGTGATGAGTGCCCAAGACCAAACCATAGCTGGATTGTGCTAGGGGCAGTGGTTCCGTGGCCACTCCACAAACGCACAATGATGTGGCAGGACTCTGGTGTAAGACTCTAGACCAACCAACGATTGGTCTACTTGACCAAACCAATGCAGACCCCAAACTAGAGAAGATTTCCACTTACCTTCCTGGGGTTCAGGATCTGGGAGCATTTCCTAAGCCAGAAGCTGTCTGGGGCAGTGGTCTCACCTAGCCACCTGCCTTTATTATCATTTGTGTGTCTATCAGTCAGTCTCCCTTCTTTGTATCTTTCCTACCTCTGGGCCTTGCTCAAAGGGTGTTTGTAAATGTTTTAGAACAAACTCACGAGAGCACTGTCTTACTTCTGAGTCCTTCGAACCTACCGAGCAGCTGGAGGATGGCAGGCACTGAATGAATGAATGACTGCTCGTTCAGTGACGGGATGAATGAATCATGCTCTGCCCTTTCCTGAGGGCTGAAGACACAGAGGGAGTTGATCAGGGATGGTAGTGACACTGGATCCCACATTTCTTGTAGGAGTTGAAGGTGTAGATACTCACATGCATACTGGAAGCCACCTACGGGGTCAATCTTACAGAGGAATTAGCTGCCGTGCTTTCTCTGTGAAGACTGAGGACTTCGCCAAGATCTATGAGACCTGCCAATGTCCTGGCCTTTACCAGCCTGTGGGGACTGATGGCAGTGAGACCTCACTCACACGTCATCCTTGGCACTGGCCTCCCGTCCCCATCAAAGTCTGACCTCAGTCCTCCTGGCAGTGACCAGGGAGTGCCTTAGGGATGGTTAGCCAAAACGTGGGCCACGTGCTGCTCCCGCTCGCTCTCCTTGAAGTCCATGAGTGAAACACCAGTGCGGCTGCTGGCATGTCCCCGAACATCAATGACTGTGCCAAAGTTGCCGTCTCCAAGTGAGCCCAGATCTGCAGGCCCCCGAGGCCCCAGAGTGGCCATGCTGTGTCCTTCTTCCCTTCTTTGAATCATACTTTGTTGCTAGGCCCTGAAGCAGTGTTGCTTGTCCCTCCATACGTCACAGAGGACTGGTGAGGACAGCTCTATCAGCTGCTGCCTGTAGCCACCATCTCCTCAGGCTGGTCTCAAGCCCAGGGGGGGGAGAAGCGTTTTGAGAGGCCCCTGGCAGCCTCTCTACCATCCCCTACCCCTGCCTCTTCTGTTCTCAGGCTTCTTTCTCCAGTGTCCATGGACCTCTGGAGTCCACCTGGAGTTGTCCTGCTTCCTGGTTCATCGGACATGACTGGGTGCGTCTGAATGCCAGCTCCGGACAGTCTGAGCTGGGACACCTGATACGTTTGTATGAAGTGGTGGTCTGGTGACTAATGTCAAGATGACCTATTTCTGCGGGGCAACTAGTGTCTCAAACTAGTTCTGGAGGTCTGCTTGGAGGTCCTTATGTCTTCTCACGTGGTTTTGGAAGGTAATTATCAGCCGAATGCTGAGCCCTGCCTCTGGTTGCCAGGTAGACGGACATTCATCCATCCATCCACTCATTGATTCATCTATTCACACAGCACACATTTACTGAGCAGCTATTATGAGCCAGTCACTGTACTAAGTGCTGGGAATATTAAGGTGAATTCTGGAGGGGTTTCTAGTCTTATTGGAGAGGGGAACATAACCTCACCCCCCTGTTTCTGGTTGGGTTCAGTGAACGGGCAGTAGGAGGTAGGAGGGCAGGAAGAAAGAAAGCTGCCTCCCTGCGGGGTTGGGAGTGTCTGCACCTCCCCACCAAGGGCCCAGCCCCTGCCAGGTATTCCTTTCCCTCAGCCCCTCCTGGGTAGTCTTTCCCTCAGCGCTGATGGATGGTCGCTCCCTCAGCGCTGATGGCTGGTCTCTCTTAAGGCTCATGTCAGGTTCTGGTTATCGCTCCCCCCTCCATCCCTTAGACATAGAGGTGGTAAGGGCTCTCTGCTCTTGCTGTCACCCTGCTGTGGGGTTTTTTCTCTACGTCTTGTCGATTGTCCTTAACTCTTTCCCTCCCATTGTAAATACTCCCTTCATCAAGTTATCCTCAATTATGCCACCCAAGTGTACCATCTGCCTGCGGGGATCCGGGCTGATTGACCATTTCTCATTCATCTTTGTATCCACGGAACTGGGTACCTAGCAGACATTCATTCAATGACTGTCAAATTAATAAAATAACGTGATAAGGGCTGTGTCAGACATTTTCTGTAAAACTTGCTCTGTCTTTGGAAGTTTGGAAGTTTGAAAGTCCAACTTCCAGTCTTGACTCCAGAAAAATCTGCTTGGTGAGTGCATTTGAGGATGCAGTGAGAAATAAAAATGTGACTTGCCTGTTTTTGGAAGTTGTGGGGCTCTTTTTGGAAATCGGGTGCCCTGTGACGCTAATTGCGATGAGAGTCAGAGCCCAACATTTCTATGGTTATTAGCAGTTTTCCTTTTGCCAGCCTCTTCTCTTCCTGAACAACTATGTTCCCCCCAATTTTGAAGTGATGAGAAAACAAATAGACTAAAGTGTATAAAAGAGAGACACAAGGAAGCAGTAAGAGAAGCGGAGGCTCGTTTCAGTCCAGCTGACATAAAAGCTCCCTAAATTTTGGCAGATGAGGCAGAGAGCCATGAGATGCGACAACGCTCCTGGTCACAGCTCTGCTCCTCCTCAGTGTCCTAGCTCAGTGTGAGGAGGCTGGTTGTAGCACGAGGAGCAGGCCTGGTGGGCTGGAGAAGGGGAGGTAGATGGGGGGGGTGGGTTTTGGGGAGAGAATGAGGGAATCAGAAGGATGACTGGCATTTCATGCTCCAACTCCAGATTGTAGGTGATCTCTGCCGATGGCAATCGGAGGCCCAAGCAAAGCCACCAAGTCAGTCTTGGTCATCCAGAGGGCACAGAGACAACCCAGGGTGTGAGTGGGGAGTGTCTTGAGGGCAAGGCGGCATCTTGCTCAGTAGGGTGCTCCCAACACAAAGTAGGGGTGGCGCATAGTGAGGCTTTCACAAGTGGCAGCTGACTGCACAAATGGATCCCAGTTGCTCCAAACATTGGAGAAGCCCAGTGGGGGGAGGAAGGCAGTGTCTGCAGCTTAACAAGAAAAGGACAGAAGCAGATGAAATAGGTGCTGGAGTGCTGGTGGCAGGGAAGGCCACACAGGAGGGCATCGACAGGGCTGCCCCATGGGGCCTTTGAGAGGCGCAGGGCCCTGATCGCTGGGCTCCCAGAGACGATGAAGTGGAAAGTTCTCTGTTACGGAAAAAAAAAGTGTGATCGAGCTATATTCTGGTTATTTATTGCTCCATAGCAAGTCATTTCAATGCTTAGTGACTTACGTCAACAACCGTTTTACTAAACCTCACAGTTTTGTGGGTCAGGAATTTGGGCAGGGCTGGGCTAGGTGATTCCTTTTTTTTTTTTCTGAGGAAGATTCACCCTGAACTAACATTTATACCCCTCTTCCTCTATTTTGTATGCGCTGTGAACCTAACACCGGGAGTGGCTGCCTTTCGGAGCCCCGTGGGCCTGGGGGTGAAGCCAATCTCCGATGCCTGCAGAGCTCGCACCCTGGGGAAGACACTTAACCTCCTTAATCCCGGCGCCTCAGCTGCAGAAGAGGGATAATAGTCATACATGTTCTGTGGGGTTGTGGGGAGAGGTGAATGGGCAATTGCAGTTTCCCCAAGTAGCACAGTGCCTGAAACACAGTAAGCGTTCCAAAATGTCAGCTGTTATAACAGGTGCTGACATTAAGCAGTCAGCTAACTTGCCAGGGACACTCCCGAGTAAGCCATCGATCGCCTCCTGTGGTCACCCACCCATCGTCACCGCCACTGGAGCAACGCAGAGCAGCGCCAGGAGCCTGGGTGTTCAAAGAGTTTCGTTCCATCCTGATCTGGAAAGTTTCTGGCTTTATACTTTAGGGAAAAAATTCTTAATCTCTCAAGTCTTCTGTGCATTTGCTCGGCTGTAAAGTGAATATAGTAACCCTGCTCTACCTCGTCCGACTACGAGAGCTAATGAGACAGCATCGGGGGAAGTCCTTTAATTTTAATTAATTAATTTTAAGCTGTAAAGCGTGTTTCAAGCATTATAAGTGTCCCTATTATTGGACTCTGTATGCGTTGGATACACAAGGAGTGTTGGTTAAACGAGCATTCAGGGACACGGGACATTTGTATATAAGAGACTCACACCAGGTTTAGGGTGGGGGTTCTTATCCTGGGGTATGTAGAGGGACTTCGGGCAGGGTTCCTGAAATATTATGTAAAATCTAGCATTTCCTGGGATGTGAGTCCGGAGCTTTCATTACAGTCTCAAGGGGATCTGTGACCCCTTGCTTAATCCCTCCCCCCAAAAAAGTTAAGAACACTGGCTCAGGGACTCTCCCGCCCCACGCCTCCCCCCAGTGCTCTTTCACCAGCCCTGTCCAGTGTGGATACGAGGGCTAAGGAGAGGCCTCAGCTGCTTCAGACTGGACTCATGGGCCAGTGTCCCTTGACCCCCAGACCCATAATGGTGGCTTCGCTCACCTTCAGCTTTCCAGATCTTTTCTGTAGCGCCCTCTCTCCATTCCAGGCTCTGCTTAGCACTGTCAGTGTTGTTTCCCTTAATAACTTAAAATAGAAGGAAGAGAAGGAAATGAAAAATGAAAAAAATGAAAGCCATGAGGAAGTTGTTGACATGGATAAAGGCAAGTGAGCCAGCTGGCCACAGTGGTCCTGGAGGAAGGCACAGGAGAGCAGGCGGGGGCACTGGGTCTCACTGACAAAGGAGCGGCTCACTGTGTGCCTTCTGTCCCTCTGCACAGGTCCTTCAGGTGCACTGCCATTGCCTGACACCAGCACCCCTTTCTTAGCCTGCTCTGTCCTGGGATCGAGTGTTTGAGAAAACACAACCACGAATGGATTAATGTGAGCAGATGGTTTTGGCCAGAACCACAAGAATCTTCCTGTTTCGCGTCCCTGACAGATACTTCACTTGCAAATTGTAAAGTCCACTAGATTTACGAAGAAAATGCAGGCCTTATCTGCCTGTTCTAGAGTCTGCCAGATTCAGGGTCACTCTGGACCAGAACATGCTTGATGAGGATGCAGGGCATCAAGAGACAGAGAGCGTGAGAGGGTCCCCTATTAAATGTCAAATGCTCGAACGCCGTCTACGTCATGACTTCCAGCATTTTTTTGTCACTATGACTCACAATAAGAGATTGGTTTATGTTGCAACCCTGCCCACACATAGAGGAAACAGAAATAAAGTTTCGGTATTTACCATTGCCCCCTGAGATGTACTCTGATCTGTCCTAACATATCCTACTTATTGGAAAAAATCTGCTCAGAGCCACTACCTTAACTTCAAGACCCATTAATGGGTCTCAACTCTCAGTTTGGACAACACCGGCCTCATCGCTTTGCCCCCTGCCCGAAGGAGCAAATCTTCAATGCTAATAGGTGTCCAGGGCCTTCGAGCTGGTCTTGCCCACCTGCTGGTTGAGGGCATGGCCAGGGAGGGCAGCGGGCTCTTGCCTTCATCCTGCTGGGAGCCTCTGGAGGAAATATCACACACTGGTTCCAGTAAGGGAAAAGAGTGTCTGACTTCCTTCCTTTTTTTTTTTTTAATTAATCTTTTTTTTTTTTTCTGGAGCAGAGATTCACATGAAACTCAAATGCAACTTCCACTCACGCTGAGTCCACTTATGACTTTGGTTTTATTTCACAAGGGGCAAGTTTCTCCCTTTTCTAACCACGAAGAAAGGCACATCCGAAAAGGGCAGGCAGGACGGCCGTCCTGAGCGAGGGGCTTCACGTCAGGGCTTCTGCACCCTCTACCTTCTCCCTCATGCAGACTCGTGTGTCTCTTACTGGAAACTCAGGGCGACCTTGGCCTTCCCTGTTGAGAGCAGTGGCCGCATTCTGAGTCTCGCCTCTTTGTGGAGAGGAAACAGCTCCCCTTGGTGTTGCTGGCAGTTCAGACCTGGCTTGAGATTTTCCAAGTGTCCCGGTCACTCAGCCTCTTAGTCTGAGGGAGGTGCCATGTTTGCTGGGGATTGCTCACTCCCCCGTTGATGGCATGCAACAGTTGTGTTTTCCTGGGTTTGTTTCCTGAGGACAAGGCAACAGTGGGTCTCAGCACCAGGCCGTGTGGGTGGAGGTTTGATCCCAGAGTAAGATGTGCTTCCCTCCGCCTTGTATGTGGACGTGTGTACGATTTGCTTGGGCTGCTGTAACAGGGCACCACGGGCTGGGCGGCTGATAAACAACGAGCATTTATTTCTCACAGTTCTGGAGGCTGGAAGTCCAAGAGCCAGGTGTGGACAGGGTTGGTTTCTTCTGAGGCCTCTCTCCTTGGCTTGTAGACGGCCATCTTCCCACTGTGTCTTCACATGGTTGTCCTTCTGTGTGTGTCTGTGTCCTAATCCCCTTTTATAAGGATCCCAATCAGATTGGATTAGGGCCCACTCTAATGATGTCATTTTCCTTTTTGTTTTTTTTTTGAGGAAGATTAGCCCTGAGCTAACTGCTGCCAATCCTCCTCTTTTTGCTGAGGAAGACTGGCCCTGAGCTAACATCCATGCCCATCTTCCTCTACCTTATATGTGGGATGCCTGCCACAGCGTGGCTTGCCAGGTAGTGCCATGTCTGCACCCGGGCTCTGAACCAGCGAAACCTGGGCTGCTGAAGCAGAACGTGCAAACTTAACCGCTGCGCCAGCGGGCCGGCCTCGACGTCATTTTAGCTTAATCACCTCTTTAAAGACTCTATCTCCAAAGACAGTCACATTCTGAGGTCCTGGGGGTTAGGAATTCTACATGCGAGTTTGGAGGGTGCACGATTCAGCCCATGACAACACGTCCACGCATGTGCACATTCTCTTTGTCCCTAAATAACAGCTTCTCTTTCTGTAACTCCTGTCCCCATTTCCTGTCTTCTCTGGAGAAATGCTAGGGCTGGTTAGGGTGACCACATCTTCCTTTTCTCATGCCCATTGATGGGTGTGTTGTGAGAGCTAACGGTCTCCCCTTTCGCCTTTAATAACCTGCCTTTTAGACAAGAGATTGCAGTGGCAAGACTGGAAATCCGCAGACCTAGATGCGCTCCTGGCCCCACAACCATCCAGTGGGGTGACCTTGGGCGCAATCACTCACTTCTCTAGGTTGGTCCCCACATCTGTAAAATGGCGGGGTCGGCGTAAATGACCCTGTGGGTCCCTTTTTGCCTCTAAGAAAGCTTCTTGTGAGTCATGCTCACGTTAGTAAATGGTTTCTTTGTGTTATAGCGAGAAAGAAATAACTTTGATACTTACTGATGGCTTTCTTTGAATATAGAATTTCTTTGAATAAAGATGAAGTTTTATGTAAAAAATACAGCAGCATCTAAACTGATTTCAAATTATTGGAAAAACACATTTTATGTATAAAATCTAATTTTCGTGATCCTCTGAAATGAATACTTTTCCAAGAAATCCTGGGAAAGCAGGTGTTGAAGAAATTCACACACTGGAAGTCTTCCCGGGGGCTTTTTTTTCTTGTGGGAGGGCCTTATCATGCTGAGCTAAGCTTACTAGTCACGATAGAGTGAGAGGTTTTTTTCCGTGAATTCATTATTTGAGGCTCAAAATTGCTGTTGAGCTCTATTTTCAACTTCCTTCATTTTAATGTGTTGCTTGGTTAATGCAAAACGTTCTATCTCACTGGCAGAGCATTCTTTTATCTCTCCAAAGCCCTCTCCAGGGTGTTCTCTCCCCTCCCTCCTTTTCTTCCTTCAGTTTACTCTCATTAAGCCCTACTGAGCCTCAGCTATTGGGCCGGTCCTGGAGATGCAAGAGGCAGCAAGGCACAGCTCTGCCCAGTGCAGTGTGGGCTGCAGATAATTCCACCCGCAATTCAAAGACACCCAAGTTCATGCTGGAAATGTATGGGGGACTGTGGAAATACAGAGGGTGAGGTGACCCAGCCTTGAAAGGCCCTCCCAGGCAGGCTTTCTGAGCCCTGATGCGTGAGGGTGTTATTTCTGGCTCTCCACTGATTATATCCTCATAACTACTCCCCTTGTGGCCTAGACTGACACCACCCCAGCAGGGAAGGAGTCGAGCTCCTCATTACTGCCAAGGGGGGCAGTCCTGGCCCTGCACGTGGTCTCCACTGACACATCGGAGTGGGGAATGCCTTGCTATTGCTTGGTGGGGACAAAAGTCCTGGCTCCCTACTCAGCCTGCTCCTATTCCACCCTGGCAGGGGGTTGGGGTGTCTCGTTACAGCCTGGTGGGTGGAAGTCTAGGCGCCCTGCTCTGCCTTCGCTGGCATGGGTGGGTGGGGCTACCATTTTCTCTGTGGTTTGGCTAGGGTAGGGAAGTTATTTTCCAAGCTTCTGTTTTGCTAGACTGACTCTTTCCTAGCTCTTTGGCAACAGAGAGGTGACCTTTGTTGGCGCTTTTTTCCCTGTGCCTGTTGATATTTCCTTGTTGCTGGCTTCTCCCGTCTGGGACAGCTCCAAGTCTGGGATATAAGAAGCAGAAAGAAAACCCACAGTGTTCACCAACCATTATGTTGTTCCTTGGGATCAAGATCCCAGCCAATCTACATTCCCTCCACCTTCCAGAGTCTTCTGATGTTTGTTTTACACGTAATATCTAGGGTTGAGTTGTCAGTGGGAGGGATAGGGGAAAGACTGTCGACTTCATCTTCTGGAAACAGAAATGCATGTTTTTAAGGGCCAAGTGTTTTGTTTCTGAGGACGTGTCACTAGACAGCCTTGGTCTCATGGTTCTTCTGGAAATGGGTGGAAGTGCAGTTCACCATTCCAGGCCTGGCCATAAGACACCTACGCAATTCCCCGCATGCTCCCTGGTAACAATAGAGACAAGTGTTGAGGGGTTGACATCACGCGCCAGAAGGAATCTAGATCCTTCAGTTGCCTTGGAGATCTGCCTGACTTTCCTTAGTCTATGATGTGAGTGAGAAGTAACCCTTTATCATATCAAGCCACTGGGATTTTAGGGTTGTTTGTTACAGCAGCTAGCATTATTTATCCAGGCCAGTGCCTCACCTAAGACCTCTTTTCTTTACTTTCTTCCCTAGCCAGGCTGGACCTCAAAGTTTATCACTTGAACTAGGCATTGGCAATATCTTTGATGTTAACCCCCTTGTCCTTCTGCTATACATATTTTAAATTTTCTCTTTTCTATCTCTCCCGCCACCCATTTTTCCCTGTCTTATTCTGGGGCTGCTAAGTGCTGCTGGGTAAAATTAAATAACGTTGCCAGTTAATGCCACCCCATTAGCCTCCAAATTTACTGGGTCCTCAGCAACCCTTAGCAATCCTTAGACATGCCCATGATCAGCTCCCTCTTCCAGTCTCCGTAGCTGCTTTTCCAAAATTTTACCATTGTCCTCAATTCCCCATTTCAACTCATTCTTGCTGCTTGTAGTGGAGGACTCTCCTTCACAAGGTGTAAACTTCCTCAGCTTGCTGTCCTCTCACTTGTAAGCTTTTCTGTATGTTTCCTACATTTTCTGTATTCCCACCCTCCCCTCTGGTGCTGGGGAGAGATTGTCTTTCTCTCTCTCTAAGCGTACGGGTTTTCTAGGGCTGCCAAAACCAAGCATAACCCACAAACTGGGAGTCCCAAACCACAGAAATGTCCTGTCTCATAGTTCTGGAGGCCAGAAGTGCGAGATCAAGACGTGAGCAGGGTTGGTTCTTTCTGAGGGCTCCTGGTGGTTTGCTGGCATCTTTGGCATTCCTGATCTCTGCCTTCGTCTTCACATGGTGTTCTCCCTGTGTGTATCTCTGAGTCCAAATTTCCTCTGAATTCTATCTTTCCCAACACTTGCTCTTCTGTCTGTGTCTTTAGCTTAATGAATTGCACCCACCCCCATCCAAGACACAAGATTGTTACCAGTTGCATTCAAAAGATGCCCAGCGTTCAAGTACTGCTAATTCTCACATCTCTCCCAACTGTCCCCTCCACACGATACCGGGGCTAGTAATTATCAGCTCAGAAAGGTGCATAGGACTCCCAACAGTCTTCCTGCTTCCATCCTTACCATCTTCTAATCCATCCTCCGTGCTCTTGTCACAGTGTTCTTTTCTGTGTAGTAAAATATACATATAAAATTTATCATCTTTACCACTTTAAGTGTACAGCTCAGTGGTATTAAGTACATTCACATTGTTGTGCAACCATCACCACCATCCATCCCCATAACTCTTTTCATCTTGTAAAACTGAAACTCTATACCCATTAAATAATACCTCTCCATTCTCCTCTCTCCACAGCCCCTGG